GAATTCACTAATAGTTTTATGTACTAATAGTTACAATAATAGTTTCTAATAGTTTCTCATCTGGAAGCCTCCCTGCTAGCCTCCATCCTGTAGCCCTGACTTTTTGACTCCAAGCTACTGTTCACCCCTGTAACTTGACATCATGCATTTGTTTATACTCTTCATACTTATACAGTCCAGACCTGTACTAGATGAACTTAATATGCCCAAAATGAAAAGCAGTATATTAATACAGTTAAATTATGGTCATTTCTCAACTTCATCTATAAGTCATTATGAGATATACCGCCAGAAAATCAACCTGTGTAACCAAAAAAACTGTTCACAAGTTAATAAGACCCTGTCTCTCCAGAACCTACTGCTGTTAAATGACTATTTTATTATCTCAGATTACTCCTTTTCTCAGTTCATAGAGGACAGTGGTAATGACAACTATTTCCCAGCCAAACAAAAACTACGTTGCATGATTATGCTTTTATTGATGTTATCTGGTAATATTCAGCCCAATCCTGGTCCTGTTCCTGGTCCTCCTAACACTTTGCAATCCTTAGTCACTCCTTCATATTTCAAAAGCAGACATTGCCTTTGTTGCCATATATGTGAAATCTAAGTTTATAAGCTCTGTAACCCTGTCACTAACCAGGGTTTCTGGGAACTCTGATTGTTTTAAAGACTTACGTAATGACCTAAACTTAGCGCAACTTATTAATGAACCAACAAGAATAAATCCCAAAGCAGAAATAAAAATCTACTCTCCTTGATTTAATCAACACAATTTCAGTTCATAAATATACCTCAACTGCCGTGTTTTGTAATGACGTCAGTGACCATTGTGCAGTCGCTTGTGTAAGAAATACAAAAAATCCCTAAGGTAAAACCGCACATCATCCTAAAAAGACATTTTAAAAGTTTTGAACAACAGGCTTTTCTGCATGATCTGTATCACAGTGATCTCAGCAGGGTGTCTTTGTTTTCAGATGCTGAAATGGCATGGGATTTTTTTCATTCAAATTTCATTTCCATTGTAAATAAACATGTACCAATCAAAAGGTTTAGGATCAGTGGTAAGGACAACCCTTGGTTCTCAGACAGCCTATCAGAGCTAATCTGTTTGAGAAATAAAATGTAGGCACAAGCTAGATTCTCTAACTCTTCTGCTGATTGGACTGCATTTAGAACTGTAAGAAACAAGTGTACTTTGATGATTAGAAAGTCCAAATCTGAGTTTTATTTGAAGTCAATCACAGAAAACTTAAACAACCCTTCAAAGTTTGTCAGGTGCACGTGTGACCTCATACCTCCCTGAACTCTCATTGGTTCAGATGAAATAAAAGACAAAGCAGCTATATACTTTAGTCAGGCTGGATTCATATTTGATCAAACCGTAAATAAATCTGTCCCATGTCCTGCCATGTCAGCATCTGAAAATGTAAATCGGGAATACTTTAATTTTAAACCGATTTCAGTGTCAGAAGTTCATAAAGCCCTCAGAGACATTGATCACAAAAAGTCTGCAGGTCCAGATAATCTGGATCCCTTTCTGTTAAAAGTGTCAGCTGATATTACTGCTGAGCCTGTAGCGCATATTTTTAATTTGAGTCTTCTTTCCAACTCCATTCCCAAAGTTGGAAAGCAGCCTATGTTTTCCCTTTACATAAAGTTGGAGACCCATCAGAACTGAATAATTACCATCCAATATCAACACTCTCTGTTCTGTCAAGATCTTGAAATCACTTGTGAATGTACAGTTAAAACTGTATTTAGCTGACAAAACATATTAAATAATTTTCAGTCAGGGTTCATAGCACTATCACTGCTGCTACATTAGTGAGAAATGATATTATTGGGGCCTTAGATAAGAAGCAACACTCTGCTGCATTATTAGTTGATCTTTCTAAGGCATTTGATTCAGTTGATCATGGATTGTTATTGACCAAACTACGTTCAGTTGGTTTAAGTGAGAAGGCTGCTGCATGGTTCCAAAATTATCTTGTAGATCGTACTCAATGTGTTTATGCTGAAGGTTATAAATCTGATTTTCTGTGTCCCTCGAGGATCAATCTTAGGACCCATTCTTTTTTCAATTTTTATAAATGATTTGGATAGAGATGTTCAAGCCAAATTACATTAATACGCTGATGATACAGGTATCATCCACTGTATCAATGGTCCACCATTTCAGCAGCAGTGCAGGAACTTCAGACTGCATTTCAGGC